TGGCGTACAAACCGTTGGCCACCAACTCGTCGATCGTATCGCCGCAGACATCGAGGTTGTGGTCGAACATCATGTCTGAATCAATCAGTTGTTATCAATGAAATGGATGGACTAATGGTGGGATCAGATGCGGTGATTATCACACTCTCTATAACATGTGGTTTTGATTTTGACACACGTTTTGGTTGTTGTGGTTATGGTTTGCGCTTTGGTTGCGAATCACGTGTCATGTTATGTGTGAACCACTCATCGCTTGGACGCCAATTCTGTACACTTTATGAATGGTTTACAACATTTCGTTCATATATGAAGTAACGCCAAATTTGGGAATCATAATTATACGCCCCGTTTACGTCAATTGAGTAACATTTTAGGTAATTTAAATGCTATATCCAACTTTTAATCGGGGTAGGGTAAGTCTGCCCCACTTGCCATTACGCCCAGCATTTAACCATATTAATTTTTGTATTTTGTGACTTTTGTGTACTTTTATTGTGTATTTAAATTAAAATCGATTAATGTATTGTGTATTTAAATAGGATGTGGGGGTTATATTGGAGACCGGGATGGGTGGGTGCAAAAGTGTCGAAATACCCGGTGATGGTTGCCTGGGTAACAATCATTACCATGATAGATGACACTTATTTAATTGACATATTTCTAAAAGTTTTATAATGCATTAAAACTGTGTTTATTAAAAGTTACAGTTTATAGATGGAGAAAATCAAATGGCATTAGTTTTGCAATAACTTATTGCCAATAAGTTAGTTAGTTAAGTAAAAAGTTATTTTACATTAATGATTGTTGATTTCAAATAATAGCTTTTTAGTTATCATAAAATTAGTTAATTATAATTAAATCTAATATTACTAACTTTTAGTTAACTATTAGTTTAGTAGAAGTTAATTAAAAAATATATATTTAGCATTTGAGTAATAAGTCTAGGTGATAAGTTATCACTGATAACTTATTTACAGTATTTACTACCTGTTCAACATATTGATCATGATAATTGTTAAATTTATTAGTTTTAATTACTGTTAAATGCAAATTAATTTACATAGAAATATAAATAGTTTTATCAAGTTTGAAATTGTTTGCCTTAGGAACAGAGTAGATTAAATTACTTGCATTTACACCCATTAATGTAGATGCAAAAGTAATCAAGGTTATTGTAATAATATTCTCACAAACACTTTATGCCAGCCTAATTCATAATACTTAATTTCATTAATAAAACAGATTTATTAACCAACAAAAGTTTTTTCCCATAAAGTTTTGCTTTATGGTAAAAAATATATGATGTACATGTATTAGCGCATGCGTAGACGGGGCTGTTTACCAGACAAAATTGATCATGTGGTGTTTATTGTCATCATGTGATCATGCTGTGTCTGTGTTTTTATTGTGATTATTTACATTTTCTGTTAACCAAGCAACAAATTCAATATAACACTTCACATAAAAATCATGCTACTAATTATTTAACCATACATATTAATATGGTAGTGAAATTGTCTAGGTTATAAAATGATTTACATATATTATTACTAAGGGTGAGTATTTCTGTTACCACGATGTGACTAAAAACTTATTGTTTTCAATACAAAGTTCATTATTAACATGCATTGAACGCAATTAAAGGCAACCTAGTTAGAAAAACATATTTTTATCACTTTATACTTTAGTCATGTTTATTTATGGCACAACTAGATGCTAATCATTGACCATGGTATAATTATGTAATTATGATGTTATTTAACGCACATTTGATTACCATGATTATTAATCATGATTAACTTGACGCTAATAAATAAACTTTACCTATTATTATAAATAATGACCATGGTCATCCATTATCAAACTCATTATAACATAACTAAAACCAATCAAAAACTTTTGTCCACTTTATTGCAGCAAAACGAGAGACCCGAGAGAGTGACGGACAGTGAGACCGACCAGACGTCTCCTCCATCTGCTGACCACTCGATGTACTCGACGGCCGAGAAGTCGCGCAAACTGTCGTTCGGTGACCTCGAGTCACACACACGCGAGACAATCACCGCGTGTCACACACTGGCCAACCCTGTGCTCGGCTTTAACGTGCTATTAGTGACCGCATCGGATCTGGTCTATGGCTTGCGTACCGATGGATACGACGGGTACGGGTGTCTGGCTGTGGGCGACCGGCGACTGGACTCACTTCAACTCATACCACGCCTGTGCAAACTTCGGGTCCAGTACTTTGTCAACGGGTACGACTTCGCGCTGGCCGTCACCGCTATGAACGATGTCTACTCGTGGGGCGACAACGAGTGGGGACAGTTGGGCGGCACTGGCGGTGGTGGAGCTGATGGCGGTCAAGACAATGGCCAGGGATTGGTTGCGGGCAGTTATTTTGGCGGAACCGTTGTCACAGACACCACCGACGGCTACCTATCGCCCCGTAAACTGTCATTTTTCGAGGACAAATACGTCCAACAGATCAGCTGCGGTTCGTACCACTCGCTGGCCTTAATGGGCGACGGAGTGGTGTACGCCTGGGGCGACAACTCGTGGGGCCAACTCGGGTCCGGACCCACGGACAGCGGCGGTCAGCGGACGCCCACACGGGTGCCGATCGACGCCGGCGTGCACTCTGTCTACTGTCACAGCAGCAGCTCATACGCCATCGCCGAAGACGGACGCGTGTACTCGTGGGGCGAGAATAGCGACCACCAGTTGGGTCACCGCACGGCCGACACCGTTGTGTTCGAGCCGAGGCCTGTGGTCGGTCTCCGGGACGTGAAATCGGTGGCCGCCTCTCAATACATGACTTACTTTCTGACCACCGCTGGCCGACTGTACTATTGCGGCCACTATTACGCAGATATCGGCGCAGGAGGTGGTGGCGGTGGACACAATGGCGACGGACCGGACGCGCCCGCCGTATACCCAATGGAGACCGAGCGCCGGTGCGATGAACTGCAACAGTTCCGGTCGCACGTGGAGTACTTCAATCGTGACTTTATCTGCGCCCTAATGGACGGCCGCGTGTATAACGTGTTCGGTCCGGACACTGTTGGCGAGACCGAGTACAACACGTTTGTCGACTTTTACGCCACGGTTTGTCAGATCAGTTATAATACGCTAAGACTCGTCGGCGGCGGTGGCGATGATATTGGCGACGAACTGATGGCTCCCCAATCAGGACCAGTATTTCCGGCCACCGATTACCGCACGGAGTTGTTTGTGTCCCAATTGGCCGCTCAATTGCCTAAGATTAATACTCAGATCAGTGTCGGGCCGACTATTGTCGGTAAATACAAGTCTAATCAGTTATACTTGAAAGTGATTTTAACACTTGTTTTTCACACTCCCAGCCGCTCAAGAAGCAGTCGAAGACATACCTCAACATAAGCCACAACCAGACAAAGCTCACGACACGCCGAAACGGGTCCGTATAGTGACGCCAGCCTCGTCGCCGCCAAAGCCCGAACTGCCGCACTCGCCAGCCATGGGTCAAAAGCGGCGCTCGTCGGGGGACACCGGCCGGCCCGCGGCGGCCAACGGTCGACATTTAGTGAACACACATATTAGACACGAATCCGCGCCCCAAACGACGGCCACAACCGACACGTCGCCCATCAGGAGTGATAGAGATGTCGGTCGACAGCGGGCGGCGGCTAATCCTCCATTAGTAGTGACCACTGAAATAGTTCCGCCGCCCGAAGAGAGAGTCACTCATTACTCAACTAATAATCACGAGTCGGCCGTTCGGAAGGATAGGGATGTGAGGCCAACGCCAGTGTCCGCAAACAATACGCCAACACGTGATGGTAAATATGATCGATGATAGAGAGTATTATTATTGAATAAATTTACATTGCTTCTTTTTGGTTTAGTAAACATCGATTACTCAATTAATGCCGTTTCCACGCCTTATGTAAGCCATAATCACAACACAAACACAGGGTTATCATCGATGCGTACGGCAGATGTGGGCGGCAATGGTAGCCCCAGTGGTGCCCGAGTATCCGCCGCTCGTGTCGGCGGCGCTCGTATCACTCGCGGAGACACAGCTCACGGCCCGTCCACCGGTCGGGTACTAACTCCAGACCAAAGGCTAACCGACAGTTCAGAAAGTGAGATATTATTTTAATTTACNGCCGCTCGTGTCGGCGGCGCTCGTATCACTCGCGGAGACACAGCTCACGGCCCGTCCACCGGTCGGGTACTAACTCCAGACCAAAGGCTAACCGACAGTTCAGAAAGTGAGATATTATTTTAATTTACAACGTTTTAACTATATAAATGTGCTAACTTTTTAACCATGATCATTAAATTAATTAATTAGATTATCCGGAGCTGATCCAATCGCACCAATACGTGAACCGTAAGCAATTTATGGAGAAACGCCGATGCCAATTATTATGACAGGTCACACATAGCCTGTCCCATGAGCTTACATTCACACCAACACAACCCCACACTCCCCTCGCCTCCCACCCCACCTCCCGGGCCTTATCTATTAAACTACCGGTTCGTACAAAATATTTTTCTTACCATTCATTTGTTTGTTTCGTTTGTTTTGTGTATAAATTCTATGGTATATTACATAAGAGAAAAATTTATATAAATTGTAATGTTTTTGAAGTTTAAAATGTAATTTATTTTCTATAATAAAATGCGGAAATCATTTGTAATTAAAATTAAACATTTTGTGTGTTATTTCTAATCGCTTATAGTTTTATTACTTATAAAAATTACTTTTAATTAATTAAAAATACATTTTTATAGTGTTTTTGGTTTTGTATCGGAAATACAGTACATTTCTCGGACAAAAAACACACACAAAAGTAACAGTAATTATAAAAATATAAATCAATATTAGTTATCAAATTAAAATCATTATATAAAATAACCATTTGCTTAAACGATGGCCACCGACCCCTTCCAACCATTCCTCCGGTACCGTTCAATTAAGATCCGGGATATCTCTCCACAATCATGGCGTGTCCCTATTGGGTGTCCGCAAAGACACCACAGAACAGACAAAAAACATTATTAAAAAGTACTGTAAGAAACATATACTGCTGGCGGACAGTCTAGTGCCTCACGACATGACCAGTCCTGGCATTCCTCATGAGTTACCATTGCTATAGCGATCGAAGTCTCGGCATTCAATCAATCAGTTTTTACGTACAAAACGCGATTAAACGAAACTCGTTTTTCGTTTTACACGTCCGCACAGATTGAATGTATTATTTCAATCGCATCGTTCAAAATACACAATAAAACACTACAAATACTGCGTTCACAATAACGGGGTTTAACTATAACGGGTTTAACACTAGCTAAATACAGATAACTACTAAAAACAGCAATATTTATATAGTGTTTGATTGTATATTTCCAACACAAAAAGCAAAAACATAAATGTAAATAAAATAAAATCACATACGATGCCACCGGCGGCACAAGCAGCCAACAGTCCGTATTTGCCGTCCTCTTTGATCAGTCGATTGGCTGTTGTGGTGACCAGTCGTACGCCAGTCGCACCAAACGGGTGGCCGATTGACAGGGAGCCGCCCCACAGGTTAAACTTGCTCATATCGGGCGCACCGTATTTGCCGCTTCGTTTCATATGCTCTTTAGCGAACCAATCGCTGTCCAGAGCCTTCAAGTTGGCCAATATCTGGCCGGCAAACGCCTCGTGAAACTCAAACACATCGATATCCTTCAGTGTTAGGCCAGCCTTTTGGGTGAAAACAAAACATATTAATGTAATTTCATCCGCAATACTAGTGTCCATACCTTCTCGAGTATCCTCGGCGTGGCGTACGCCGGGCCGAGCAGTAGCTGATCCTTCGGGTCCTGCGATACGTACAGAAACTCCCGTAAATAGGCCTTCGGTTTGAGGCCCAACTGTTTGGCCTTCTCTTCGGTCATGAGAAGGCAAGCGGAGGCGCCGTCGGTCAAGAAGCTGGCGTTAGCCGCAGTGACAGTGCCGTACGGTTTAACAAACGCCGGCTTGAGTTTAGCATACTGTTCGGGCGTACCCACGCGTATGCCGTTGTCCCGGTCGATGAGACCCTTCTTGGGCACAGTCACCGGCTCGATGTCGTTCAGTAGACCCGCTTTGAAGGCCTTGTCGGCCAATGTGTGCGACCGCAGGGCGTAGTCGTCCTGTTCTTGTCGCGACACTTTGAACGCCGCGGCCAACCGGTCGCCCGAGTGGCCCATCGTTAGCCGCAGTGACAGTGCCGTACGGTTTAACAAACGCCGGCTTGAGTTTAGCATACTGTTCGGGCGTACCCACGCGTATGCCGTTGTCCCGGTCGATGAGACCCTTCTTGGGCACAGTCACCGG